TAGGCTGAAAAAATTCATGTTAGCGCTTGCCGGAATTCGAACCCTGACCTCTGCATTACCGGTGCAGCGCTTGAGCTGGCAGGCCAACCGGGAGCTGGTCATGGAGATGAAATGATTGAAAATATGAATTTCATATATTTCAACGGCGGAATAAAGAAATAAAGGAAGGGAAGATCATAGTAGATAAACTTAACTTATGCATTATCAGTTGCGAAAAGAATGCCTCAAAAAATTCAGGCCTGTCGTTTTTGTATCAGAAATCTCGCCAGCTCTTGCTGCGCTCACTTGTTCGATTTCTGTTACGACAATTCAACTAGTGCTTAAACATAACCGTACACTGGCATTTTTCACGAAGTTAAGAAACAGGCCTTATATCCTTACAATCCTTATATCCTTACAATCTAGTTCAAAGCTGGGTTAAGATAACCCAGGGATAGTGTGAAATTTGAATTCAGATATGAAAGCTTAAAAATTAAATTAAATTAAATTCATTTTGTCAACAAGTTGATGATTGAATCCTCTTAAAAAAATTTAAAGAAAATTATCCGAGAAAAAGCTTTTGAAGAAAAGAAAAAGAAACCCCTGCTGATTTAACCCTGGGTTAAGCGCTAATCGGTCTTCGAACAACTGGACCCTGTTGACTAACTAACCTTGACTTGTTTCTTTAACCACAATTTGTAAGTGTTCAAGGACTACGAACGGTTTTGCGCAGGCAAAGGTACTTACCAAGCCCGAAAAGTCATAGTAACTATAAAGTCTCGTTTCTCCTGAACCTGCATTCGTTCTAGCCAGTTTCAACCTCTTGCTTCCACTTTTGATATTTACAGTCCACGTGGACGTTGTAAGATATTCGTCACGCGCCCCTCCCCCCACCCAAGAATGTTTGTGTGGGACGCTAAATAGCAGTTAATTATATACGGAAGCAGGGGGGGTGGACTTCTTAGACAGCAATTTTCAGAAACATATTGCTAATCATTTTTATTATAACGTAATGTTACTTACTTAGACTATTGATTGAATTTTCTTTTTTTGGAGCTAGAGTTGGCAATCAAATGATCCACTATTGAAATATTTATACGGGAAAAAAAATCATTGTTTCTTGTTGCGAATTTTCGGGTGATCGTTCCTTTGGAATTTCACGAATTAATCTGCGATAACCTTTAAACAGAGGAAATATGAACGTTGAATAACATGCCCTGCCGCCAGAATGTGCTGAATTACTAGGTATGACTCACAATAACTTTGCTTATTGGCTTCTCTTTTGCAGATAAAAACATGGGACATGATGATTTGTGAAATGAGTGACAAACTCAAAGCCAACTTTACAGAGGTATTAGGCTGAGAAGCCTGGGTAAACAGTTTAAATAAAGTGGATGAACTCACCATAGTTTCCACCCATGCAGAAGAAATGGAGAGACTTGTTAACAGAAAGCACTGAATTTACGTTTTTTTGCTTCTTTATTTTTAGATTGCGTGTCGCTGTAATAAATGCGACAAAATCGTTTCTGAAATAAGTGACTCACAATAACTATCTTGAACAATTTATTGCCTAGTTATCATATTAGAGCAAATTAAGAATTTTCTCACAATTTCCTTCTTTTTTTTCTTTTGCTTATGAAGGTTTTAAGAACGAACACCGAAATTAAAGAATTAAAAAAGGAACTTTCAACTGAACGAAAAAAGCGCCAAGAGGCTGAAGAAAAGGTGAATGATAATAGTAACTGAACAATAACAACAATAATAATGATAATAATAATAATAATAATAATAATCTTTTTGTTCTTTTGCTTATGAAGGTTTTAAGAACGAACACCGAAATTAAAGAATTAAAAGAGGAACTTTCAACTGAAAGAAAGAAGCGCCAAGAGGCTGAAGAAAAGGTGAATGATAATAGTAACTGGACAACAACAACAACAATAATAATAATAATAATAATAATAATAATAATAATAATAATAATAATAATAATAATAATGATAATAATAATTCCATGAATGCTCATTCTTGACCTTGGTAAACAAACTTGAAAAAAATAAGTCTTAAGGCGCTTTCCATTTGTCATAACTGACCGGCCAGACCCTTCTCGTAGTAACGAGAATTTCACTTTTGATCAAAACTATCCAACCAGATCAGTCAAATCCTAAATACTATGCACGAAAGAGATGGTTTTTCAGCAAAAACTCTTGGGAAAAGCCTATTATATTGTCAAAATAACAACTCCAGCGATGATCTGGCCGGTCAGTTCTAACAAATGGAAAGCGCCCTTAGTGTCCTGGCAAAGTCTTGGTGATAAAGACCGTGCAATACAGTTGATAACTACAACACTATAATCTGAGACTTTGAGACTAGAATATTTTTTTCGATTCGATAATGATAATATTCATTTACTTATAGAACACTATAACTTGTAGAGTGCCCCGTAGTGCTTCACAGAGGAAAACCTTTAATGTGCCTTGCAATTTAATTATGAAGGCTCACAAGAAAACTCTATCTAGAAAAAGATATTCGTAGGTACTAATTAAAAGAAAATTTTCAAAAAAAGTGTGTTGTTAAAGTAAAAACGTTTGCCTGCAATATTAAAAAAAGTTAGGATGAAATCGAAGACCTTAGGGTATTCACACATTTACGATCAATTACAGCTCTTGTAAAAAATTGAAATGAAATTGAAATTAAATGTAAGGCGCTAATACAGTAATATGATACATCAACGTATCTGCCTAGCCCACACTCCACCTGTTCGTACGCCCTGTCAAAGAGGTAGGCTCTATGCCGGTTCTTGAAACTGAATAAGGAAGAAGAAAACGTTATTTTGGAGGGGCAAAGAATAGAGAGAAGAAGTGGTTACGTCACGTTTCCATGGTAGCAAAATTTGTGGATGACAACAAACCGAAAATTCACTTAAAAAGTAAATTCGCACTGTTTCAAACTTCATCGATCTTATTCAATTTCATTTAATTTGTCACATGAATATTGGCAAAATTTTCTGGGGTTGAATCCGAAGGGACCGTATCTGAGTTTAGATTTGTGTACTTCCGCGCAAAAGGTACGTGTGCGCGAGTATATTTTCCAGCCACATACTTTTTGTATTTTATTGCCCGAATTGCTCCAACTCCTTCCTTGGTTTTTGTGAATATCACGAAAGATAAACCCCCTTAACGCAAAAACGTTCCGCTAGGTGAGAGCATAAGCATGATTTATCTGTTGTAGAAACTGCTAAAAAACTGGAAAAATCCGAATGTTGGGTGGTAAAATGATCATAGAGAAATGAAGGTTTTGAAGGCAAAAAATGAAGGGGAAGTCCTGACAAAATCAGCTAAAAATAAATAGTTTTGAAGGAAATTAGATACAAAATAGGAGACTCGACGAGGAAGCTCTCACATAGTTAGCAAGCCAAGACCAGAAAGGGTCATGAAAAGCTGTTTAAAATGTTTGAAATTAGAGGCCCCCAAGATTGCAAAGAAATATCTCTGCTTAGTCTGCTAAATTACGCCCAGCTCGTCTCAAATTTGCAAAGAATTAAAAAAGCCTTGCTGTGGAAGGGGGCTGGGATGATTATCTTTTTGGATGAATGCCCAAAACATTTTTTTTTCAGCTGCCTAAACTAAACAATTATTGTTTGAGGGTTGAACTGGCTCCTGCGCACCAGGTGATAAAAAAAGTTAGGCCTACACGCTGTTTCATGCCGCAACGGCTACAGAATGTGATAAAAAACAACAACAACAAAAAAGGGCATGCCAGTTACTGAAATTCTAAGTACATGTACTCCATGAAGAAATAAGAATCTTCTAGAAATTTCATGTAAAAATGGGGTTTGATCAAAAGTTATAGTGCATTAAATTAGAGGAACGAACTTTTGGGACACCCTGTAATTCAGATGGAATAATGGAATACCATACAAAAAATACTCTTTTCAAAAGATGATAACGATGAATGCTGACAAATCACTCTTGAATATATTTTGGTTTTCAAGGATCCATCCTTCGCGCCAGAAATAATGAATTAGAGGAAGAGGTAGGCTAACCACGTCAGTGATGTTGCTCCCTTTCTTTGAAATTATTACCAATTCATTTTCCTTTAGAATGCTTAAAAACAACTGTTAAAAGGAACATCGACTGTTTTATTCCCAAGATGCACACGTTTCACCTGATTGTTCGTCTAAAACCTATCTAGACAAGTAGTTTTAACTCCTTCGTGGACCCTAAAGTCGTCGACTGCGATATGCATGCATGGATGATGTTCTCTGAACTTTTTGCCTTTAAATTTGGTTTCTCAGGTTTTAAGAATGGGAACAAGAATAGAAAAATTAGAAAAAAAGAGCCTAGTTGCTCAAGAAAAGGACTGGTTTGACACCAAGCAAGAGGTAAGTATTAACCAGCGCCCAGATTGTGTGGACGTAAGGTATAAAGTCAGATATACCCGGTAAATGGGTTGCCTTTAGGAGATTTGTGACGACCATGGCTTCAAAAAATTAAGGGGATAAAAACAACAACAAACAACGACAAAAGGACATTGTGGTCCTAAGATCACCGTCCTTTTGATCGCCTATAAGAAAATATAAACTGAATTTCCAAACTTAGAGCTGCCTCTAAGTGTAGAAAGCTATAGTGTCTACATCACTTTTCGGAAGCAAATAGTTCCCAAGCAGTTCACGACCTGAGTAAACAGCTTTACCACAGAAAAATGGCTTCATAAAAGAATTTTTATTGTTTTTAACGGCAGAGAGGAAAATATATGCTCCTGCACGCCAAAAGATAATAAAAGGTATTTACTATTTTTTTACGAAATGTTTTCATCGCCCATTTCAGGATAAAGATCTAGAATCAAGAGAAGGTTGTGTTAAAGATCAGCTGGAAAACATCAAAGAACAGCTCAGTACGCACGTGACAACTCCTTTGCAAGTGCCTGAAATAAATCATGATCAGCCGGATACACATAAAACTCTAAAACTTTTGACTGAAAAGAGCACGCACTTGCAAGATATTTATAGCGAGACACTACGGATGGTCCCGGAGGCTTGCAAATGCAGCGAGAATCTAAGGAATGATTTCTTTGATATGGCCTGTAATGGCCTCCGGACGGGGCACTATGACATAGTCCACAGAGTGGATGGTTTGGAATCTGTTCAGAAGGAAATGTCAGAGGAGGAGAAAAGAGCTTTTAAATGTCTTCGAGGACTTCAAATTAACCGAGACAGAGAGATCGAAAAACTGGATTTATTATGGAATTGTCTTTTAAAAGCGGTACGTAATTCTTTTACTGTCAAAGCCAGAAAACCGTGCACACATGAAAAATTTCAGGAATGTTGATTTTGTATACTGGCCCATTACAATAAAGTTCAGGATACGCAAGAAAACCTCAAAACCACAAACTAATTACCGTTGCTGTTTGCTGTTTGATTTCTCGCAGCAAAATAACATTCCATAGATATTTCTGGTGTTCACGGTTTTGTGAGTTTCACAGTAAGTGTGAGTTTGGGGAACAGGAAGTATGGGTTGTGCTTACTTTCTTTGAACTTGGCTCCTCGTATCATTTAACAGACACCAAAATTAACGATGCCAAAGTGCTATTTTTAGATTATCATATCAAAACTTCTTACTATTGCAATAATTTGCAGCCTGAATGTCTCCCTGAATCGTCAGCGTCATCACCTTCTGCAGCTGACAAGTCAATTAACGACAGTAAGGTACGTAAAGAGAACCTTTTACCAACTCAGTTGTTCATTTACTGAGCACTCATGAAGTAGGACTGTAGGCCAACAGAAACACTCAATGAACAGCTAAAATTACTTGTCTTATCAAGAAGGATGCAATTCGTGAGCCGCCTAGCCCCACCTGGCCCATTACCCATGGGTGCACGTGGAGGTAATAAGCTTAGTACGTATTTATAGGTCCAAGCTGACAAAACTTTCGTTTTGAAATAGTATCGCCCTCTGTTTGACGTATCTAGCTCGTTTTCGCTGCTTCTCAGCTGTATTTAAACTTGTTTTTAATAGATAAGAGATCGATATAAAGCATGAAGCTGGCCATTCGTTCGAATAGGTTTTTTTCAGTCATGAAGCCTGAAAGTATTAAAATTAGTCGTGTTTGATCGAACAAAAGTGTTTTATGCCGCCTCGTGATCATGCAGTGACGCTCCTAATCACATGACAAAACGTGTTTTTCAAATGGGGAGCATTCGCCTGACCCATCCTCGGAGACCCAGGGGCAGACAGTCGGGCTGAGGAAAGGCGCGACGAAAATTTTCAAGCACGAGCGGAAGAACCCCTGGGTACCGACTCTCAGCGGACCATTTCCAAGCGGTCAAGCAAATGCTGGCTCCTGATTGGGCACAAAAAATGTTTTGTATTATTGCGCCCAATCGGCGAAGAGTTTCTCCTGAGTTCTTTTCGTGAGTTCGTACACGACGGCTATTGTCTCTCCAGACTTACCGGTTCGTTCACCAAGCTTGTTCATGCAAGGGAAACTTTCATTTTCTACTTTTCTAACCAGCAATCCAATTTGCACAAGAAAGTCAAAAAAGCAATAGCTTGGCATGGCAAAACAAGATAAAAAAAAAACAAAAACAAAAACAAAAAAACATCACCCTTTTGTACATTTCTTTGCCGTCACTGCACGACTACCAGGTGAAAATGCCCAATTTCACGCTTTACAATACCAGCTTGTGAAGGACGTAAACAAGCAATGACAAAATTTTCTTTCTGTTTATCAATTTGGATATGGTTGATAGAAGATCATCTCCAGAAGAGTTCGCTTGCATTTGACAAAGTAAGCGAGTTGGAGCAATGACGATAGAGACTCAAAAAATGTAAATTCACTTTTCATGCGACGTTTTCTTGGCTGTGAGCGTGAATTCCTGTTGTAAGCTCAAGCTTGTATTTTTGGAAAAGTAGCCTGCGTAACATGGCGGTTTTGGTTGGGCGCGCAAAGTAAGAAAGGCGGGCGAAGGCAGAGAAACCTCGAGGAGATTGCTCCCGACAAAACCGCCATGCTACACACGTTACTGGAAAAGCGTCGTTAGTTTTCGGTTCACAGTATTTGAAATGGGGAGTTTATATCAAACTGAAAGTTTCCTAACCGTGTGCATTTCTTTGGTGCATGAGACAGACAAGCTGTGATCGAGTCTATAGCCGTCGTGTACGAACTCACTAAAAAAGCTCAGGAGATGCTGTTCGCCGATTGGGCACAATAATACAAAGCATTTTTGTGCCCAATCAGAGCCAGCATTCGCTTGACCGCCTGGAAATGTTCCGGTGAGAGTCGGTACCCAGGGGCTCTGCCGCCCATCCTTGAAAACTTTCGTCGATCGAGCCTTTTCTCCCAGCCCGGCTGACTCCCTCTGGGTCTCCAAGGATGTCGCCCACCTAAAATTTGAAACGTTTTGACCTTAAAATGATCGGAAAGTTAATTTTTAGTGATTCCGCCTTTTAACTGATATCCATCCTATACTTTATCAGTTATTGGTCAGTAACTAAATAATTATTCAGCAAGTCACCTGGCCTGTTTGACTTTAATTAACTGACTGTTTCCTTTTACCCCAGGACACTATTTAAAGGCAGCACTCTAAAACCCCTCGCTAAGAGCGTATACACTTTGACTAAGTATTCCCCCAGTTTTGACGTGAAACATTTTGACCGTCGCAGAGTGAATGTGAGTCACTTGATATGCACTGATATAAGAAAACGTTCATCAAGTGGATGTAACTGTGGATAAGAATTAACACTGCTTGCCAAGTTTCTTAAAGATAAGAGAAAAGGTCATACAGTACTTGAAATCAAAATCCACTAAATCTGCACTTGAGCCAAACCCTACGGGGGTAGTCTGGTTGTCTTTGTTTTTAGGGGGGCGGGGGGTGGAGGGAATGGGGTTGAATTTGAGAATGAGGAAATAAGGGCAGAAAAGATCTACAGATAAACTAGTTTGTCGGTTTATGAGCGCATCTGCATCTTGTTGTGGTGCAGGTGGACTATCTGGCAGTTCTCCTATTTGTCTATTCGGTGCATGTTTCACCTTCTGTCTGCACCTCTGCTCATATTGGCTCACCTTCTGTCTGGGCCTAGCTCCTACTGTACTGCTTCGGGGGCAATTTCCATTTCAAGATCAATGTCAAGGGCCGTCAATGTGGCACTGTCAAGTTCTGACAAAAAACTGCAAAAATAACAGAAACATAACATAAATATATAATCATACATTAAACATTCCAACCTAATGAACATAAAAAAATCTTTTCAAAATACTAAAATTTGGCTTAGGTGTTTATAAGTACTCTTTTCCAAATTGCCACGGCAAAATAAACAAGTGCGTGTCATTCTTTACCTTGTTTGATCGACTTCAATATTTTCAAGAGTTATTTCTTCTTCACTCCTATTGTCATCATCAGACTCACTGAACTGATCACTGTTGCCCCAGCTATCTGCAGTCTCCGAGTCACTAGAAGCATGATCACTAGACCTGAAATGACAATTTCACCATTATTACCATTTATCCATCATGTAATAATGTTTCATGTAATGTGTCTTTCCATCTTCGTTGCGGTTTTTAATCGTCAAATGTAGCTTTTTTGTTGTTCTTAAACTCTGGGACCACTGTAATTGACTTATTGCTGTGTGTCATGTAATAGGTGAAGCTAATAAAATAAAATATTGCCAATGCACTGAACAGTAAAAGAGAACCTTCTGGGATGAAAAAAAAAATGTAATAGTAACAGGATGTGAAGATGTTGATCCAAGTAACATTGTTTTTTCTGCATAAAATTCCATTCTGTGCGGTAAAATAAGGCCACTACACTACAAAATTCCAAACCCAAAGAGGGACTTAGGACCACAATATTCAGAAAATAGTTTTGGACAACCACCCTTTTCAGGATACAGACATTGGTATGGTCTATCATAAAAAAACTATAGTGATAGTAAGTGCAAAAGCAGATGCTAAGCAGCTTGACTGTGAACTGACATAAAAGTGGGAGTATTTATCTCAGCAAAAAAAAAAAAATTGTCGTAGGAAATGAAAAGAGAAATAGAGACACTTACTCCAATTCACTCATAGTCTCTGTCTCTGCCTCTGAATGGAGGAAAACAGGGGTTCCAATTAGAAAGCTCATCCAAAAGAGTCCTGTGCCGAGTCAGTTGGTCTTTCTCTAGCTCATCAACTTCAACTTCAATCCTAAATACAAGAAAACATGAACGAAGCCAGAAAGAAATATCATTATTGTTGTATGATATCAGTACAAGGTTTCCAAACCTATCGTTTATGCACAACATATCGATTGTAGACTATACGCTAAATTAAAAGTACTCACTTACTAAAACTTGAGTTTTCTGCAACACTAGCAAAGGATACAGGGGCAACTGTGATATTCTCAGTCCTGATTTCTTTACCCATCGGAGTCGACTGGAGGAATAGCTGCCTTCTTCCTACCAAAAAATGCGAAAGAACGCGCAATGTATATAAAAAAAAAAAAGGAAAGCGAAATACTCGAACTGCTGTGACGGCATAATAAAAAGAAGGTTTATTAAAAACAATTTTCAATATTTTACCTTGATGCACTTGAGGTGAAGTAGCATCTGGATGCGCGTGAGGAGATCGATCACGCTCTCGTGTAAGTTCGTCTTGGTGCATAAGTGTCTCCGCAAAATCGTTACCTGTATTCGTGATTCCTTGTAGCCCAAGGGCTTCCTTCCGTTCAATCTATAGATTGTACGTGGATTCCCTAAGTTTTAGGCGTTTGATGCCTTCTGGCCTCCTTGGATGGCCCCTTGCCGGACGACTGGCCGACGTTTCTACGAACCGCGACTGAAAACCAACAACACAGTGCCCTTGGAAAGAAATTTCTTTTACAAATGAGAATTACAAAGATAGTTCAGAAATTATAGAAAGAATTCCAGAGGAAACAGGACCTTAATACCGCCTATAAAGTAGTTTCTTTCTCGCTCTTGCGCTTGCCCTCGCGCGCTTGCCGATGTTTTCGAAAAGAACGAAAAGAAAAAAAAAACAACGTCTGTGTGCAGGCGACGTCTGTGGCGCAAGGTATTATACGCCCGGTTATTTCTTGAAAGAGTACCCGAAATTTACTCTTGTGAGGCTCATTACCATAAGTAACGCTTTGTGATGACAATAATGAAAGTAACAACCGACGACGTTTGTTTTTCAGGTGCGTGAAAGACACACAAACCCAGGTGCTACTCTACAAAAACCAAAACCACGCGAACAAGCCCCAAATATTGTTGTAAGTATTAGCCAAGGGGTGGGGGAGGAAACTCTATTGTTTTCCACCTAAGTTTCTTGACCCACTCCGCCTGCCAATATGACGTCACATAGTAACGGGTAAGAGCGTCGGGTCACTTGCGCAAATTAGCAAGTGATACGACAGTTATTTGGACGAGCGAGGTCGAGGAAAAGCTAAAAAGCTAGCAAATAACGCTACTATATCGCTTATTTTATCGAATGTGTCTGAGCTTTGGTGTTGCTATAATCTACTTGTGTAAACCGTTTTGATATTTTGGGTCCGTGACTTTATAATTTTGTTAATTTGTCTTGCGCGCCGTGTTGCGGGATCGCCATCTATTTCACGGGACCGTCAAGGTCATCAAAACTTAAATCTTTTTTTCTTCTTTCTCTAAAATAGGCAAGGTCTAGTCTCCAGAATAGGAGGTTCCATTCACAGATCACACATTTTTATATTTCATCTATTCTTTTCAGTGCTAATTAAACGGGCCTAACTTCATATCATTCCTTTCGAATGAAGGCCTCTGTTGATCTCCTGACTCTCCACCAACTTCAGTAAAGCTAGTTCGATCGATTATCTACATCGAGTCGGTAAGTGGGAAAATGGGGAAAAGCTTTGAAATACGCGCTAAAGCTAATTTTCCTCAAGTGTATATTTGAATCATGATAAATACAGCTCCACCAGCTTCAAACAGGGTCTATGGCAGAGAAAAATTGTTTTGATATGACAAAATTAATTTTTCAAATCATGTGTGTCACTGTGGTGCAGTGGTCAAAGAGTTGTTTGAACGTGCAGATAAACCGGGTTCGACACCCCGCGACGCTGTTTTCTGTTTCTTTGTACCGTCTTTTTTTTCCTGTTTGGTCTCTTTTTTTAACACTGTTTTTCTTTTTGGCCTTTTTTTTTTATTCTTACTGCTAACCCTGCTGGTCATGCACTTGGATCAATATATATTTTAAGCTTAATTCCGGCGTCTTATTTTGGAAAAGGGATTTCAAAAGCTCTTGATCTGCATACTGGCCAAGCTTACGACAAGAAAAAAACCATAAGCTATCAATACATGTCTCTCCTCTGAAACAGCTGAATTTTTTCCCATGTTAGTTGACATCATGACAAACAACACACGGTACACCACACTGAACTGTACTAATTTACACCCAACACCCACCAGTGACCCACTGGCGAAAGTTAAAATTGCCTTTTTGTACATAGTCTTAATATCAATATTATTACCCTAAAATCTCCACTAGGTTTTGCCCTCCAAAAATAATGAAACGAAACCTTTTATTGGTTTTCTGGATTTAATTACAGAATTACCGGGGTATGCCCAATACAGTACTAAAATGAGGGTAAAGCAACAAGATTCAATGCTCACAGTCTCTCACAAATACCTGTCATTTAGCTTCCTTTTTCAACGCTACAGCTAAGCGAACTTTGACAGGAATGATATGGTGTTCCACTAGCTTTGAAGAGCTTAAAATATGCACAATGTAAAGTATAATACATCGTTTGATGAATCTCCCTTGCTGTGCACTGGCCCTCAAAAGTGTGACCGGTCGGTATGATTGCCCTAAAAATTTGCTCGACGATAGAAAGAAATCTTTAAAATTCATTACACTACTGGGCATTTCATTCCAAAAGTCTAGTTTTCTACGACAATAGAAACCTTAAAATCTCCAAATCCAAGAAATCGGAACAGTATTTCCGTGATAAATCGAAATTTTTATCCGTCTCTTCGATGAACACTTTGCTCGACATTTTGAAAGTTACTGACGCGAGACGTGACGTCATACTGGCAGGCGGGCTGTACCACAGATTTCCTTGGAGACACCTCCCCCCCTCCACGATATTAGCCTTCAGTTGGCGAGAGTGACAGATCTGCTGTGGCGCGCTTAAGAAGATTGTTAATTGATGATATCTTCTTCTAACTTAACATCCACAACTTAGTTTGTCTCCGGCATCCTCTTGCGGTTAACAAACGATTAACTGGCAGGGAGCCCGCAAATAGGGTGAGGATTTGCACCACGAGTGGCAAAATATCGAGGGATGGGCAGCACTCTAAAACCGGGCATCGCGAAACAATACCTTGAATGAGAGCCTTCTCGACCCTTATCGCAGGCTAAATTCTTCAGATTAAATTTTGAGTACTAATAGTAATCGGGGATAAGTAAGTGCTTTCGAATGTTTACTTTTCGGATTGGGGAGAAAGTTTGTGGAGAAAGTAGAAAAGTTTGTACGATCCAGTGAACGATGGGGACGAGTTTAATAACGGAGATGGGTTTGACAGAGTCGTGTTCTTTCGCTATCAAGTCCGAAGTATCAGCGTATTATCGTCAATGCTCTTGTAGCTAAGTTAAATATAAGAACGTTCCTAGTATTAAACAACGCAGTAAAATATTTTTATCCCTTAACGAACTGGACGCAACACCACATTTGTTAAATTGAACGGTGCGGGCAAACAGAACGACATCTGGTAAATCGAGTCAATTACTCTGTGTAATGAAATTGTTCTTCTACCAGAGCATGCATCCAATAACGATACTAGGATTTCTCACTGTTGCTTTTTTATGTGCAGTTCGCTAAAGTGAATTCCGAATATTCGATCGCCTGCCGATTACTTGCCTTAGCTGATTTATCATGGTTGTCGTTTCAACCGTAAATTATCCGAATTAAGCGTTCTCAGTATCCCCTGTATTCCTTGAAGGGCTCGTGAACTAAAGAAACGACACACTGTATGGGAACGAGGCCTATGATGCATCTGTTTGTCCAGTATTCGACTTTAATGTTCGTTCTCAGGCTTCTCACGGGTTGAGTTTAGGTTGCGTTCTCTTGATGCCGACAGAACGCTATAAGCATTTTATTCCAACAATGACAATTGAAATATTTGCCCACTTGCCATTACTATTAATCAAAAAAACAAATATATTTTTTTTCTTGTAGTTCACCGAAAAGAAATCAATTTTTCAATCACTGAATTGCTTTATGGGAAAGAATAAGAACACCGAGTGTTCCGTTTTATCCTATACCAGGCGGGATTCCTGATTCATGAGTTGACGATTTGTCATTGGAGGATAAGTGGTCCTGGAATTGCAGATCGACTCAGTCAGTGGAATGTATATTACTTTAGAATATATATTACTTCTCAGGAGAGACTATTATGCAATTATGTACTCTAACTAGCTATAGACATGCTAACGTAGTAACATATTCTTTTGGAAACATCTAACAATTACCAAATCTAACAAGGTAGACTGGGTCTGCGTGATTGAAACAAAGCTATGTAGCTAGTTATTTTATATTCGCAGATAGTCTTCCATCCGTCAAATTTTGAAAATAAGCATAGTCACTGCGATATGCTTCGGAATATGCTACAGGATGTAAACATCTAATTTCTTCTTTGAGCTCCGATTCAGATGTCTATAGAGCGTTTTCACTCACGTGACCAGCATCTATGCAAATTTATGGGGAAAAAGAAAAGTGTTTTCATAAGAGAAGAGTTCAACTCCCAGAGGACTTTCCTGGTACACCAACATGGCCGCCGTTTTATTGTGTTAGAACACCAATATGGCCGCCGTGACGTCATGTGATAACGCTCTATTCACTATGGAGTCAAATCTTATTGAATTAATTACGTAAGTGAAGAATTTGGCGTCTGAAGCAAATAAGAACGACTTCCATGATCAAAAGATAATGTAAAAAAACAACTGTGTAGTCATGTATTCATTGTCTCGGGAATGCTATTTGTGCTGCGACTTTCTAACGTCTGTATCTAGCTCATTACCTTCTGCTGGTAACCACTTTTAAAATAACTTGGTCTTCTCCTAAAACTGCATTAAGAACTCTGGGGCACTGTAAGGACGTTTTGGATAGAAGAGCACTGTGAGGCCCCAGTTGTTCGAAAGGTGGATAGTCTATCCACTGACGATGCACCGAATCACAGTTTTTTTCTATAACAACAACTTTGTGGTTTTTATCAATGATAACAAACAAACGTAGGAGCCACCTTAACGTTTTTAAGGAGGAAATGTCGTACGTGTTCTCGTTCACTTTTTTTTTTTTTCACTGCCGCTCATTTTCTCCTTGCATTGGTGGCCGCTAGCATTTCTCACTTTGTCACCGCCGCTACAAACTTTTCATGTTGTTTTTCCAACAAAAAAATGTCTCCTTTGTTTTTTTCTCTCTCGCTCTACATCTCCGTCGCTCTTTTTCTCATCGAGTTTCGCTGGCCTGTCGCCTACTTTCTCTTTTTCTTTGTCTTTCTCTTGCTCTACATGTATATTCCAAATCTGTGGGCGTGGAAATTAATCTAGGCTTAATACTTTAGACAACTCGGATATAAAACAATTTCCGCTTTCCGTTTTCGTCTTTATTGACTCTTTAGCTGCCTCTGCTTTACAAGACGCGGGTGGTTATGCGATTTCCCGCCAAAATAACCTCGAGCTGCATTTGGGTTGCCATACCTGTGGATTGAGTTATTTTACATTGGTATGCCCGTGGTGCGGACGGACGGTCGCTCGGTCGGTGTACGGTCACGTGATTACCAAATTTTCTCGGATGGGAGGATTACCACATTTTCTTACCCATGGCGCTCCGCTGCGCGTGCTTTATGCGCGAGAGCTCCGTTATGAGAACTAATCACGTTTAACTCTGTGCAAGCACTTGGCTTTTTTCAAGCTAGGCATACTCTCAATAACCAACCGCAAAGCAATTGGATTGACAGGTAATGTTAATCGACTGTGCCTTTTCCAGATTTCGATGTGATTTACTGGTTTAGTTCCTTTTCGCTTACACTTGCTCTTTCACTACTAAAAGGCCTAAATGTACTAAAGTCCTAAATGTAAGAACATTTGGCCTCAAACGTAATAAACTCTAATTAAGAGTAAGGACATTTGGCCTTAAGTGTTATTACGTCATCATCACTCTAACGCCAACAATGATGTAAGTATTCCCATTCTTGCCACTTATATTTTCCGCAAAACCAGTCACATTTCTGAGCTTCCGAGTCCAACCCCTCCCCCTGTTAAAAAGTTGAATAACTTTAAAACCCGTTTAAGCCATGACGTCCAAAGTTAATGACTGTGCCTAAAATTTATCTGATATGTACGTTATCATTGACATTACTATGGCAACCGAATTTAGAAAGCCATGTTTTTCAAATATTGCATTTGTTCTTTAAGAATAGCTTTTATTTCTATGTACATTTAATTTATTGATTTAGCCTTATGTTATCAAGTTTGTTATAACTGCTAATGTAATCCAATCCGTTTAGCGAATAAATTTAGAATGACCAAAACAGCAGATGGTAAGTTCAATTTTCGATAGAGTTCATTTCTCTTGGAATTTCATAGCTTGGACCTTAGTATCCTTTTATACACAGATCAATACGATTATCTGAAATCAACCACAACCGGTTTCGGTTGAAACGGTTGGTCTGAAGAGAACACGTTTTAGAGTGTGAACGGATCTTTTTTTTCCTCAAAAAGCCGTTGGCATTCATCGAGAAAATTATTCAGCGTATTCCTACTATCATTTTTAGTCAGTAATGCTACCGTATTGCGTGACGTTAATGCAATATTTAATAATTGACGTCTGAGTGACTGACGTCAGTGATGGTATTATCTGAAGCATCTTTCAAATTTGGTCAGCACCGACTGGTTATGAAGAATTTGCTGAGGGATTTAAGCCAATCAAAAATTGCAAGGTATTTTTAATTCAAATGAATGGTAATGTAAATTGAAACTTTGGAATTTTCCGTATTTTCGTTTTTCTAGTATTCTAGTAATATGAAAAATCATTATTCCATTTGAAAACGTCGACTTATTCCACACTAAAATGATCTCGAAATCAATTGCAGTTCTTGAACTATAATGAGGGAAAATTTTCGGGAATCTGGATTTTGAGGTTCAAGACAGAAATAATACCCTCGGTCAAAGGCGTTTTAAGGGAAAGGGGAAGGAAAAAATTCTGAGTGAGAACGCGATGGGGGCGAAAAATTCTAAGCAAGTAATTTTGTCTTGCTTTTTTAACACTTCATTGAGGCACAACTACACTGTATGATCTTTATGGAAAATATGTATAAAGGGTTTCGTTTATCGTTTTTAATTCTCTCACGATTGTTACCTAGATATTGATTGCGACGTTTCGACCATTTAATGCAGGTCTTCATCAGGCGATAGTGTAGGTTTACTGAATAGGACTATTTGTGCCACCGTGGTTGTTAGTAATTGGTGCATCACGGAACTCGCTCATAGTTGGTGGGTTTCAATCCAAAGCATTATCATTCGACGCAATTTTTTCTTTCTTTTCATTGCCGGCCGAGAGCCCACCACGTGACATAAGGACTCTTGCTGACTACAAATAATGGTCTGCTCATGTGCAATGCCGTCCAACTGTGTTTGGCTTAAGTGTTTGGACGCGAATTATATTCTGCTCATTCGTAAAAGAAGCCACGCTTTTCTCCTTCTTGCGATCGCTCTTGCGCGAAAACGGGACATCGCTCAGCTTCCTGAGGATATTCATTGTAAAACAAACTTGGTGATCGAATGTAAAACAATTATTGAAGTCGATAATCGCAAAATATCGTGATTTGTCATTTTCTCGCAGATCAATTATTGCCTCAGCCGATCTGCTCGCCACTGACAAATTACGATATCTTGCTCAACCTCGTCCAATAATTCTTAATTGTTGGCAATATTAGAGGACGAAACTGTTCCCTCAGCGGTCCGTTTGGTGGCGATCAGCTGCTATGTTGTGTCTGATTGTTATCCTACAATTAGACGATCAGTATCTAAGCGACAATCGTGAAAAAAACGAAACCCTCGATAATTATTATTACTTAAAAAACCCTAGCAAAAATAACATTGAAACCCTCTTGGATGAAAATAAAAATTAATCAGAATAAAAATTTGAAAAATACAAGAATGTGCGTGTGGTAGACACCGTCTCCTCGATCTGTGATAGGGACAGGTTAAAATCACTAACCAGAGATATTCACTACATTTTCGAAGAGAATCTTAAATATCAAATACAATACAATACAATAGTTTATTGACACTCCCCTGGTGGGGCTTTTCAGTGACAATGCGACTAAAAAAAAAAAAAACTAATTAAGATAAGAGAAGTAGTTGACAATTCGATTAAAAGGAAAGAATGCGGTGAACAAAGCAAAATAAACATACCTATTTAAGAATTAATCGTATAATAAATATTCTCACTACGTACTATACAATATGCATATTTTAAGTTAAAATAAAATAAGATACTAGTAAGATACTAAAAT